CTCCCGAACTGCTGGGATTACAGGCATGAGCCACTGCACACGGCGTGGTGGTGGAGGAGGTAGATTAAATAACCCCAGCACTAGGAGAAGGAACATCTTAGAGTTTGGGAGGCACAGGAAAGGTAGAAACATCAATGATCTATCTTTCAGAGCCATCACTGGATCTTTACTCATGAAGGAAAATACTCTGGTGAGGCTCTCCTGAACGAGCAAACACTTTGAATATAACTGACTACTGTGTCTGCCACATCCTGCCAGACAGCTCTGACTGCAGTTGATTGCCATACTCCTTCATCTTTAATAAGAAAACTACTGAAAAGAGCAGAAAATGGCCCAGCTCCTGTATCTCTCATGCAAAACATCTGTCGACATCTCTGGATATCTTTCCCACTCCTGTTCCTGTAAACTTTGCTAGTCATTCTATAGAGTAGATGAATACCACCTGGCTGGTGGCAAGGACAAATAGAATGGCATGGACTGAAGGCCCTCAGGCAGTCCCTCCATAAATAAAAACTAGGCTTAGTTATTCAAACTGTACTGGGAATCCTAAGGCCCACCAACCATCTGGGAGGCCCTAATGCGAATCACATGTTGGGGGCTCTGATAATTATAAACAATGTTTTCTTTCCAGGTGCACAATGTATACTCCCAGGATTGATTATTATTATTATTATTTTTTAGACAGTTTCACTCTGTTGCCCAGGCTGGAGTGCAGTGGTACGATCTTGGCTCACTGCAACCTTTGCCTCCTGGGTTCAAGTGACTCTCCTGCCTCAGCCTCCAGAGTAGCTGGGACTACAGGCGCACACCACCACACCCAGCTAATTTTTGTGTTTTTAGTAGAGACAAGGTTTCATCATGTTGCAGGCTGCTCTTGAACTCCCGACCTCAAGTGATCCGCCTGCCTCATGAATTTCTTATGTAGAAGTCAGCCAGTAACTTGCCTTATCTTAAAAACACCTTACGGACTGGGTGCAGTGGCTCGCGCCTGTAATCCCAGCACTTCGGGAGGCTGAGGCAGACAGATCACTCGAGGTCGGGAGTTTGAGACCAGCCTGGCTAACATGGTGAAACCCCATCTCTACTACAAAGACAAAAATTCGCAGGGTGTGATGGCATGGGCCTCTAGTACCAGCTACTCAGGAGGCTGAGGCAGGAAAATTGCTTGAACCTAAGAGGTGGAGGTTGCAGTGAGCCGAGATTGCACCGCCACACTCCAACCTGGGTGACACATTAAGACTCCATCTCAAAACAAAACAAAACCCCAAAACACCTTACAGTGACTTACACTGTAGAGGTGGTCATAAGAAAGCTTCCAGTGTTTCAGGAAACACCATCAGTAGATAACTGGGAGAACTGTGCAAATGAGGCTATTCTAGATTACTTAGAAGATTTTTCTCAGAGGGATAACTGACTTGCTATGTATATATGCACCTGTGCCAGTTACTCTTACAATGTGAGCTAGCCAATTAAAAGAATGAAACAAAATTTTTCCTAACTTCAGCTGAAATGATCAGTGATATCATATTGGCTCTGGAAGGGATTCAAATCCGCCTCACTTCACTGCTTAGGGTTGTTGATTGATGTAATTGCCCTAGGTTTCCTCCTTACAGGCCATGATGAAATATGTGCAAATGCTAATACATCTTGCTGTACTTGGATATATTCCTTGGGCCAAGTGGAAAAAATCAATACATAATGCCAAGGAGGCAGCCAAAGTAGACCCTAAAGGTTAATGAGATTTGTTCAGCTGATTGGGCCTGGAACCCTGGAAAACATGGTTATTAATATTGCAGGTTGGCCTTATCTTGCTACCAGTAGTCTTGTTGACAAGTCTTATTAATGCTGTATGAAACAAATTGAATAGATTTGGTCCCAGCCTCTGGTGAAGATTCATCAGAGTGACTATCAGTGTGGCATACTCATGGGAAAGTTTGCCAGAAGTCAAGAAAGTACAGAAACAAGGGGTGGACGTCGAAAGACAATTCTTTATAGGTCTTTCATGATTCTGCACATCTGATGAATAGAGGCACTGCCTGGCTATAGTGAATAGAACAATGGCTGCCCAAAGATGTCCACATTTTAATCTGCAGAACCTTTGAGACTGGGTACAGTGGCAAAGGCCTATTATCTTAGCAATTTAGGAGAGTTAGGTGGGAGGATCACTTGAGCCCAGGATTTTGGGACCATCTTGTGAAACAGAGAGAGAATGCATCTCTCTCTCTCTATATATATATAAAAAGATTAGCTAGGCATGGTGGTGTGTACCTGTAATCCCAGCTACTGGGGAGGCTGAGATGGGAGGACTGCTTGAGCCTAGGAGGTTTTGGCTGCAGCGAGCTGTGATCATGCCATTGCATTCCAGCCTGGGTGACTGAGTGAGATTCTATCTCTTAAAAAAAAAAAAAACCTGGCTGGACACGGTGGCTCACGCTTGTAATCCCAGCACTTTGGGAGGCTGAGGCAGGCAGATCACGAGTTCAGGAGATCGAGACCATCCTGGCTAACACGGTGAAACTCCGTCTATACTAAAAAGACAAAAAATTAACTGGGCGTGGTGGCGGGCACCTGTAGTCCCAACTACTTGGGAGGCTGAGGCAGGAGAATGGCGTGAACCCAGGAGGCGGAGCTTGCAGTGAGCCGAGATCACACCACTGCACTCCAGCCTGGGTGACAGAGTGAGACTCCCCCTCAAAAAAAAACCAAAAGAAAAAAGAAAAAAGTAACCTTTGAAAATATGTTACCTTACATGCAAAAGTGACTCTCCATGGTGTAATTAAGAATACTAAGATGGGAAGAGAATCTTGGATTATCTGAGTGGGCCAACATCATCACAAAGATCCTTATGAAGGAAAGAGGGAGGCAGAGAGTCAGAGGAGATGTGACAATGAAAGTAGAGGTTGGAATGATGTGGCCACAAGTCAAGGAATGTGGGCATCTTCTAGAAACTGGAAAAGGCAATCTAGTCTCCCTTACAGCTTCTAGAAGAAACACAGACTTTGATTTTAGCCTTTTCAGATCAATTTTGGACTTGTGATCTCCAGAACTGTAAGTTAATAAATCTCTGTTGTTTTAAGCCACTAAGTACATGGTAATTTGTTACAACAGCAATAGCAAACTAATACATTGTCTTTCTTCTGGACAATTGTCTTTTCTTTTCTTTCTTTTTTTTTTTTTTTTTGAGATAGGGTCTTGCTCTATGGCCCAGGCTGGAGTGCAGTGGCACAATCTCAGCTCACTGCAGCCTCAACCTCTGGGTGCAAACAATCCTCCCATCTCAGCCTCCTGAGTAGCTGGGACAACAGGTGTGTGCCACCACACCCGGCTAACTTTTGCATTTTATATAGAGATGGGGTTTTGCCACATTGCCCAGGCTGGTCTTGGTCTCCTGAGCTCAAGCAATCTGCCCGCTTCAGCCTCCCAAAGTGCTGGGATTATAAGCATGAGCCACCAAACCTGGCCTGGACTATTTTTTCAAGGGTATTTCTATAGTGAACAGTCTTAGAAGATAAAGTATCTTTCTACAGAGCAAACGGAAGTCATGCTTACTGCCCATTATAAAAGATTTGGGTTCCCATGTTTGGATTTCCTCTCCTATAATGCAAACCATTGTGTGTACAGGTGTCACCTAGCTCTCTTTGTATCACCCTGTGGAAATTAGGGCTTGGGTAACTGATGCAAGAAAATGCTGACACAGTGGCCACCGATAATGGCTGTGAGTAACAAAGACCTTTGTTTCTCATGTAGGAGTCTTGTGTTTTCTGCTAGTATTCATGAAACTGATAGCTTGTAAGTAGGGACTCAGATCCTTCACAGTTATTTGACAGATTATAGAACAACTTGGATAAGCCACAGGTTCTGCCTTGACCTTTCAACTCATTGACCATTCTCAAATGGGAAAAAGGCTGTAAGAATTATTCAAGTGCAATGAATGATGGGAAGACAATACTTTCTTTTTTAAACACCTCTCAGCTTCCAGAAGCATTATATTTTGTCCCCCAGAAGCATTAGTACCCTCTGGAATTCTTGGATGATTGGCATCATACTTCTTACTGCAGATTTTGAAAATTTCGAACCACTTTTTCCTGTCCTCAGTAATCACCTAAAATTTCCCCATGGCTCATTTGCTTAGTTTATACATGATGGCAGACTCTCCACATAAGGTAACCTCCTAAGGTCAAGAAACACATTCCAAATATGTTTGTTTTGAATACATTTGTCCACTGAAATCACCAGGCTTAGAGTTTTACACAAAATAAGACCAAGCCTGAGTCTACTTACCAAAATATATATCCTTCTATTCATATGTTTCCAGGAGAACCAGTCTTAACACTTCTGCAAAATATTCAATGCTTGCCTTAGGGACTGTCTCTTAGGTTATCAGCAGTAACCTGTTTGTAAGAGAGGTCAAAGGAGAATAGTCTTCAAATATTTTCAGGCATTTTCATAATACCTGAGTAAATTCCAGACTCTTCATAAGGGGTGAGTAGGTGAGATGCAGTAACTGAGATTAAGTTTATAATGGAATCCTGGCAATACTTACCATCTACTGGGAAAAATTCGCAATGAAGTTTGTCTTGGGTATTCTAATAGACTCAGAATTAAAAAGACTTCGTAGTGAAATATCATTCTTTTGATACTTGGTAACATTTGCTACTCCACTTTGTAAGGGGAAATAAGAGGAAAGATGCAGATGGTAAGGATGATTTCACCAGCTCTCTGTACAGCATTGGTTCTCAACCAGGGGCAATTTTGCCTCCCATGTGACATCTGGCACAGTCTAGAGACATTTTCTATTGTCATGATGGGGGTAGAGTGGGACTGCTACTGACATCTAGTGAGTAGGGATTCTGCTAAACATCCTACAATGCACGGAAAAGCCCCCCACAACATAAAATTATCTGACCCCAAATGTCAATAGTATCAAGGTTGAAAAACCCTGTAATACAGGAAAGATTAAAAGTAGTGAGACTGGTGATAGAATAATTCTCTATCTTGACTGCAGTGATGGTAACACAAATTTATGTATGGAATTTTGCATAGAGCTACATGCATACACACACGTGTGCAAATAAATGCAGGTAAAAAATATGATAAAAACCAGTAAGGTCTGTAGTCAACATGTCAATTTCCTAATTTTGATATTATGCAACAATATCAAATGCTACTACTGGGGGAAGCAACGGTACACAGAACTCTGTTCTATTTTTGCAACTTCCTATAATTACTTCAAAATAAAAAGCGAAAAAATGAATAGAGCCCCAGCTGTGTTCTTCAAAGAGGCTCTCTTTACCTTTTGCCACTGCCAGTGCCCCCTTTGCTTCTGTGTGTTATGCAGTGCTTGGTACAGCACCAAGAAAACTGTGGGATCCTACTTAGCACCTTTTATCCAAAGTTTGTAGTGGCTGTACATGTATTACGTTGGTGCAAAAGTAACTGCAGTTTTGTCATTAAAATATGGCAAAAACTGCAGTTACTTCTGCACCAACCTAATATTTGCACCTTCTACCCAGTGTCTAAAGTTTTAGTTGGCAAATTAGTAAACACCCATCTTTACCACCACCTCTTCTCCAGCCCGAAGACTCAGAAACAACTGGAACACTTTATTTCCTTTGATTTCGAAGTAGCCCTAGAGATATTCATGAAATATTCCAATTGTTCCTAGGCTATGGACCCACTTTGAGACTGGTGTTCTAGGAGAGGTTCTATTTTCCATTATGAACTTTTTCTCAAGACATCGTCCCTCTCAACATGCTTAAAATCATATCCATTCCTTAAGGGCTGGCTCAAAATCATTTCCTTCAAAAGCCTCTGACTTGTCCACATTCCCCTGCCCCAATGTTTCCTTTCTCTGAACTTCTATTGTAAAGCAAGTAAGTTCTAAGGCATGTATCTATACATCTATCTTCCTTTGAATTAATCATCTATGTCACTACACTATAAACTTCAGGAGAGACAAAGGAGTATAACATATGATCTACTGCTCTAAAGGAGTTTCCTCTCTGGTGGAAAACATGATGGTTCAACAATTCAGTTCAACGATAAATGCTCTCATGCCAAGAAATTACACTGGGCACTGTGTGGTATTAGCTTGGTGCAAGAGTAATTGTGGTTTTGGACTGTGAATTTTAAATCATTGTAACTAGGCTCAAACGCATCTTACTAATCAAAATAGGAACCATTACAATCAATACATTTTTGCCAATGAGAAATAAGTTTGTTTATTCCTGTAGCATAAAAATCCATGCTTCGGGATTCAACCAACTCTTGGAAAGCATGTTCTGCATCCTGCTGACTGTGGAAGCGTTTTTCCTGCAAAAAGTTGTCAAGATGCTTGAAGAAGGTGGTAGTCGTTCGGAGAGAGGTGAGGTGAATATGGAGGATGAGGCAAAACTTTGTAGCCCAATTCATTCAACTTCCCAAGTGCTGGTTGTGCAGTGTGTGGTCGGGCACTGTCGTGGAGAATTGGGCTTTTTCTGTTGACCAATGCCAGCTGCAGGCATTGCAGTCTTTGGTGCATCTCATTGATTTGCTGAGCATACTTCTCAGATGTAAGGGTTTCACCAGGATTCAGAAAGCTGTAGGGGATCAGAACAGCAGCAGACCACCAAACAGTGCCCATGACCTTTTTCTGGTGCAAGTCTGGCTTTGGGAAATGCTTTGGAGCTTCCTGGTCCAACCACTGAGCTGGCTGTCACTGGCTGTCGTATGAAATCCACTTTTAGTGGCACATCACAATCCAATTGAGAAATGGTTCACTGTTGTTATGTAGAATAAGAGAAGATGACTCTTCACAACCACGATTTTTTTGATTTTTGCTTAGTTCACGAGGCACTCACTTACCAAGCTTTTTCACCTTTCCAATTTGCTTCATATGCCAAACGACTGTAGAATGGTCAATGCTGAGTTCTTCGGCAACTTCTTGTGTAGTTATAAGAGGATCAGCTTCAATGATTGCTCTCAATTGGTCATTGTCAACTTTTGATGGCCAGCCACTATGCTACTTATGTTCAAGGCTCTCCTCTCCTTTGCGAAACTTCTTGAACCACCACTGCACTACTGTGTGTTCGTTAGCAGTTCCTGGGCCAGATGCGTTGTTGATGCTGCGAGATGTCTCCGCGGCTTTACAACCCATTTTGAACTCGAATAAGAAAATTGCTCGAATTTGTTTTTTGTCTAACATCATTTCTACAGTCTTAAAATAAATATAAAACAAACAGCAATGTCATTAGCAAAAAAAAAAAAAAAAGAAATGCACATTAAAATGATGTATAACATAACCACATTTATTTAAGAATGTATTTCAATGTCAAACAACAAATTCCAGCAATGCAAAAACCACAATTACTTTTGTACCGACCAGCAGTCCCCCAACCTTTTTAGCACCAGGGACCAGTTTTGTGGAAGACAATTTTTCCATGGACTGGGGGTCAGGGGCAGATGGTTTGGAATGAAACTCTTCCATCTCAGATCATCAGGCATTAGATTCGCTTAAGGAGCACACAACCTAGATCCCTCACATGCCCAGTTCACAATAGGGATCACGCTCCTATGAGAATCTAATGCCGCTGCTGCTGCTGATCTGACAGGAGGTGGAGCTCAGGCGGTAATGCTTGCTTGCCTGTCACTCACCACCTCCTGCTGTGTAGCCCAGTTCGTAACAGGCCACAGACTGGTACTGGTCCATGGCCCAGGGGCTGGGGACCTCTGGTATAAATAATGATTAAAACTTGATCCCTGTTTTCAAGGCCTTTATCTAATAAAGGAGATATACACAGACATGTGATACAAGACAGAATTTGGTAAGTGACATCAAGAAGGTAATAAAGCTATATGGGAGTATAGAGGATTTAAAGACTATTTTGGATCAAAAAAGGGTTATTAGGGAATGTCACATTTGAGTCTTGCAGGATGGGTAAAATGATGGGGTCAAAGTATGGGGGAAGAATTTCTACTTGCAGTTGAAGCTGGAAAGTGCAAGACATGCTTGGAGAGCTTAGCTGACCACTTTGGTTGAGGATATGATATGAGTGAAGAGCAAGGTCTTTGGGTTACAGTAGACCATGGACACCATGCCACAAAATTTAGACAGTACTCTTAACACTTTGGTGACAGTGACTGGAAGTTTTCAAGCAGGTGTCATAATCAAAGCTTCGTTCTAGGATAACATATGGCATCACTGGAAAATAAGAGTTGAGGATGGAGACTTTAGATTGAGACAGAGGAATCTGTAGGAGGTTATTGCTGTAATCTAGGCCAGAGCTAATGAGGGTGTAAATTAGACTGGTAGCGGGAGAAAGTTTTAGATGATAGAAGCTGTGCTACAAATGATGAATGGTCAAGTGAAATGTGCAGGTAATTATGATGGAAGGTCTGATTCTGTAGGCTTGGGTATTCAAGGAGTTTCAGAAAGCAGGTAGCAATAATGGGTACAAGGAGGTGGGTATAATGACTTGAAGGAATGATCAGAAGAAAGAAAAGTATAACGTACAAGTGTTTCTAGAGATGGTAATAAAGGTATTTGACTGGAATGGAGTGTATACATTGAGAGCAACAGGAGTCAACACTAGGAGTTAGCTGTGGAAGGTCTAGTTAAGAAGCTTTGGGCTGGGCGCAGTGGCTCACACCTGTAATCCCAGCACTTTGGGAGGCTGAGATGGGTGGATCATCTGAGGTCAGGAGTTTGAGAGCAGGCTGGCCAACATGGTCAAATTCTGTTTCTGCTAAAAATACAAAAATTAGCTGGGCTTGGTAGCGCACGCCTGTAATCCCAGCTACTCAGGAGACTGAGGCAGGAGAATCACTTGAACCCAGGAGGTGGAGGTTGCAGTGAGCCAAGATGATGCCATTGCAATCCAGCCTGGGCGACAGAGCGAAACTGTCTCAAAAAAAAAAAAAAAAAAGAAAGAAAGAAAAAGCTTTGGTTTTATTTTCTAGGCAGTGGGAAACTTATGATAGATTTTTGAGTAGGGTAGTAACATGATGAAGGCATGTTATTTCTAGCACTTATATGACATATGTAGTACCTCGTATTAAAGGTATGTTCCTGGACACAAGATTAGAGGATTAACGTTTGTTAGAGGATACTCAGTGAATTCTTATTGATTGACTGAATCATTTTGTCAAAAAAGAATTATTCCATCATGTGAATAATAACCTTCTATCAATATACTTGAACTCTGAATAATGGATTTTCTCAAAATGGGACTTCTTCAGTTGCAGCTGGCTCATACTGGCTTGTGAGGGCTTACTGGTAAAATTTCACATGTTTTGTGAGGAAGGTGATCTCAAGTTGGTAACCATTTGCAAGATTTACATCAAGGAAATTGGCAAATGTAATAAATCAAAGTTTATTTTCAGGAGGACTGGTTATTAGTCATTTACCAGCACATCACTGCCAATTTCCCTCCCATCCCTTACCCCCACCATCCAACTATCATTTCAAGTTTTTTGACAGCAGAAACTGAGTCTTATTATTCTTGTATGCTCAGTACAGTATTATACAGTATTAGGGCATTAATTGTGATAAAATATACTCTTAAAATTTTATCCAGACCATTTAACAAACAAAAACCATTCAGAAGAAAATGCCACAAATAAACATCTAGACCTGGGATTGGCAAACTATCTTCTGTGGGCCAAATCAGATCTTATGTCTGTTTTTATCTTGCAAGTAGAGTTTTTAGTAAACACGCTGTGATTATTCATGTATGTATTGTCAACGGTTACTCTATGATACAAGGACATAGCTTAGTGTTTTAGACTGAGATCCTGTGGCCCACAAAGCCTAAAATATTAGGGTGGTGCATAAATAATTGCGGTTTTTGCAATTTTTTTTTTTTTTTGGCACCAGCCTAATATTTACTATCTAGCCCTCCCAGAAAGTTGACTAATCTCTGATTTACACCATGGTCCCCACCACCTCCAGTGTCTCTTACAGGTCAGGATTATATCAAAAAAGTGCCCTAACAATGGATAACTATACAGTATCTTCTTACAGGTAAATCTTATTACCTTATAGTGTCACACACATCAAACATTTTTAGACAGTGTAGACACAGATAATTGCAAAGTCCATAAATGCATGGAGACACACACACACACACACACACACACGGTATTTGCTGGAGAATCAAGAGAAAAACCGTCAAGTCTTCCTGGAGCATGCGATATAGGATGCATAGAAGTTAGACAGGTGAAGGCAAGGAGAAAGTCATTCTAGGTAGGGGAAGGCAGCTTAGGCAAAGCGTGCAGGTAAGACACAGCATGACAGGGAAAAACAGGTAATGAGGAGCTAATGAAGTTGAGGAGAAATTTCATTTAGACATATGGAAGAAATTCCAAATGACTGATTGTCCAGTTGTGGCACTTTCTATCTTGAGAAGCAGTGATTACCTCACACCTAGACATAACCAAGTAGTCATCCTTCACTAAGCAGAAGGCCTTGTTATTGAGCCACGCTGCCAGAAATTTAGGTGATATCAAATGATGTCTATCCTGAAATCGATACCCTCAGAATTCTCTTAGACCCAGATTCCATATAGCTCTGCTAAAAAGTCGTGTTTATGTAACAGTATTTATTCTGAGAACAGGGTTGGACGGCTTAGGAACAGAAATGCAAAATGTATCTTTGCGGATTTGGGTCACCATGGGCTGTCAGGATTTAAATTGTGCAACACTGATTAATATAGTTAATGTGCTGGTTTGTACATTCCTTGCAAGTCATCTTTAAAACCAAATGATATAATTTCAAATTCGGATTCTCAGAGATAATTTATTTCTATCTGTATTACACTGAAAATAATTTTGGAACTATCCTTAATGCCACTTAAAGCCTGACACTGAGCAGTAACTTGATAGAATAGAAAGTGAACACCTCAGCTATATTACATTGTTCCGGTTGGGTGGACACTCCTCGGGCACCCTGTTCCGCCCTACACACTGTAGGAAATCGAGTTCACAGAGAATCTGGGGGCGCTCGCGCACAGCTGTCATCGCAGCAGCAGAGGCCACTGTCAATACAGGTCGCCTGATTGATCGTCTGACCAAACAGGGCTAACCCGAGGGGCGGTAAATAAGCTTGGCCATGAAGCAATGACTCCGCGGGATTGCGCAGGGCAGTCACAGGCGTTTACTCCATTTTCTGTTTGTTGTGCTGAGGACCTTTCCGCCATTAACTTATCCCAACTCCCCCGCATAGGGCAATACCAGCCCTCCAAATATGAAACGCTAAGCATATTAAAATAACAACAAAATACCTCGCCGCTATTTTATCACCAGACCCTCCTCCCAGCGGGGAACGCAGAGTAGGCAGAGAGGCAAGGCAGGGCAAGGCGACTGTGACAGCGCGGAACGCTGAGCATTGCCCAGCTGGGAATGAAGTAAGGCGGGGAGATTACCTGGACCGCGAGCGCGCAGGCGCATCCGCGGTCGCAGGGCCCACTGGTCCCTTTCTAGTAATTTCGCTAACCTTGACGTCATCTCTGTGCGCCGTTACAGCGCTTAACTGGAAACTGCAATTTAGTTTTTGGTGAAGGGAACGGAAAAAAATCATGAACTGAGCTCCCCCGCCCCATTTTGCTTTTAGTCCTTCACACTGGCTTCGCCTACACTTCGGGCAATGGAGCGGGAAAGGAAAAGGCACGTAGGCTGAGCTCAAAGCGGCGCCAGCCGGGGATGACTCGGCGACGCCGCCAGGCGCGTTACCCGGCGTGCTCCGCGCGGCGCCGGCGAAGGGACGTGGGGGAAGGGGCAGGGAGGAGGAAGCGGTGGCTGCTGCGGATGTCGATGTGAGTGAGCGGCGCCTGAACACACGGCGACTGCCGAGCGCCTGACCCGGGCCTGCGCTAGAGCCTGCACCGAGCTCCGAGGCCCCACACCCGCCAGGGTGGCCCTGCGCCCGTTGCTACTGAGGCGGCGTGCTCTGCATTCTTCGCTGTCCAGGCCTGTCGGCTTTGGTGTCTGCTGGCTCCTCCTTGCTCGCCTGCTCCCTCCTGCTTGCCTGAGTCACCGTCGCCGCCGCTGCAGCCATGGCCGAGAGTGGTGAAAGCGGCGGTCCTCCGGGCTCCCAGGATAGCGTTGCCGGAGCCGAAGGTGCTGGCGTCCCCGCGGCCGCTGCCTCCGCGGAGCCCAAAATCATGAAAGTCACCGTGAAGACACCGAAGGAAAAGGAGGAATTCGCCGTGCCCGAGAATAGCTCCGTCCAGCAGGTGAGGTCGCCTGGTGCTCGGGCCGGGATGGGGGTGGCGCAGGACCTCCGCCCGCCGCCTCAAGAGACCTTTTGGGAAGGACCTGGGAGAGGGGTCGTCCTCCCAGGTGCCCTCGGCCATTCTCCTGGGCGTCGTCCCAAATTAGATCACACCCAAGTTAGTGGGTTTGCGCTTTGGGACACCGCAGTGGTTTGTGGCGTGGCGGCGCGGCCTGTTTGTGGGACGGGCCGATGCCGCTTTTCTCGGAGCCTTCTTTCCCTGGCATCCGCCGACCCTCAGCCTCCTCCCCCAGATCCCCGCCCTCCGTCGCCTCCCCTCCAATTCCTCACAAAGGAAAGGGACCCACCGCTAGGCTCCGGGCGGGGTGGAGGCTGGGCGGGGGCGAGAGTTCGCTTTAGCTCAGGCTGCGGTTTTGTTTCATGAATTAAAAAAGGGGGTGGGTGGGATCCTCGTTGTTTTACGTGCCTGCTTGTTAAGATAGGTTTTGGGGTGAAGTGCACGTGTATATTTAGTTCTGCATTTTAACTCCTGAAATCTTTCCCACCTTGCAACCTTTTTAAAAAAAATTATGACGTAGAAACCGATTTTAGCTCCATCTTAAGTAATAGTAATAGTACTAGGTTTAAGGAGAAAAGTGAATGACTTTCTTTCATTGATGACTTGCTCTTTCCCTTTTAGTATGTTTATCATCTCTTAGATGCCAATCATTGGGTAGGTTTTTGTTTGATTTTAGAGAGGCGATAGCGATGTTGATATTAGCTGTTGCAATCAAATAAAAGAAAAGAAAATTGGAGTTAATGGAGAATATTACTTAAACTTGGTTCAGGAATACAAATCTTGCAGTTAATTAAGATCTTTGGTGGAATTTAACAAATAATTTTAGTGTATTGTTGAATACGTCGTATTTTCCATGATTATTGACTTAATCTCTGAAGATCGCACACAACGTGAACAGTTTGTGACAGGAAACAATCAACAATTCCTGAAATGTACCTATCAGTTTCCCCAGGGACTGTAGGTGATTGGGATATTGGTTTAGCGAGTTCCAAAGGTAGTGTGTTTTGTGAGGCAGTGAGGTGTGTAACATCGAATGAGAGAAACTTTTACCACCAACGGAATTTATCACTTTTTTTTTTTTTTTTTTTGTCTCCTAGTGCCTGTAAAAATGTTCCTTACCATTTTTGTATTTTCAAGCATACAGAAAGTTGAAAGAAATGGGCAGTGGAACACATATGTCCATCATCTACAATTAGCATTTTACAGTATTATAATCGATTATCAAGTCCACTTTATTTTTGGGGAGCAATTCAGAGTAAGTTGCACGTGTCAGTAGATGACACCAGTACATGTCACTTCAGCATTGTGAACTGATATTTGCCTAAGTTCAGCTTCGTTTTTTACGTTTTTTGACGTAATTTTGACATGCAGTGAAATGCATGCCATTCCATGAGTTTTCACAAATGCTTACACCTGTGTAGCCCAAGCTTTTATCAAGATATAGAACATTGTAATTGACTAGAGAGTTCTTTCTTACCTTTTCCCAAGTCATTTCAGTCACTCGGCCTTTCCATCAACCACCCACTTTTTTTTTTTTTTTAAATGCCATAAGTTACAGAGTTGCCTGTTTTAGAATTTAACCTTAAGTGGGATCCCATATAGTCTATAGTACTGTTTGTATTTTTCTGGGTAAGCCTTTTTTTTCCCACTCAGCATAATGTTTTTGAGTTTCGTCTTTGTTGCGTGTATCAGTAGTTCCTTTCTTTTTATTGGTGTGTAGCTTTCCACTGTATGTATATACCATAATCTATTCACTGTTGAAAGTCACCTGAGCTGTTTCCAGTTAGTTACTGTGAACAGTCTTATACAAGTGTTTTTGTGGACTCTTTTTTCTTTCATGGTTATATACTTAAGACTTGGTTTAAGTAGGTCATAGGGCAATTGTATGTTGTAGTTTTGTGAGAAATTATGTTTTAAAAAATGCTTGTGGGCCCGGCGCGGTGGTTCACACTTGTAATCCCAGCACTTTGGGAGGCTGAGGCGGGTGGATCGCCTGAGGTTCGAGACCAGCCTGGCCAACGTGGTGAAACCCCGTCTCTACTAAAAATACAAAAATTAACTGGGCGTGGCCACAGGCACCTGTAATCCCAGCTACTCGGGAGGCTGAGGCAGGAGAATCATTGCTTGAACCTGGGAGAGGGAGGTTACAGTGAGCCGAGATTGCGCCATTGCCATCCAACCTGGGCAACAAGAGCGAAACTCCATCTCAAAAGAAAAAAAAAAAAAAAGCTTGTGTAGTGCTGGCTTCAGCAGCACATATACAAAAAAAAAGCTTGTGTCATTTTACCATCCCACCAACGAAGATATATGGGAGTTCCTGTTGCTCCGTATCCCTGCTAACATTTTGATCTTGTCAGTCTCTTTAATTTTAGCTATTTTAATGGGAGTGTAGCCATATTAAGTTTTAACGTTCAGGTCTGGTTTCTAGGATTCCTGATTCATGCCTCCACCATCCTGGGTGCTTTCAGCACTTTACTGCAGAAGATTAGAAATAGTCAATATTTTATAAATGGAAAAATTCCTTTCAGTTAATATATGATGTTATAGCTGTGAGGATGTTTTTGCTTTTTGTGATGGTAAAATTAAAATTATAAATTCTGTGAACGCTTTTATTTTACTCTGCTGTAACCAAATTGTGTGTTTTTTTTCTTTTCTTTTTCTTTTTTTTTTGAGATGGAGTCTCACTCTGTCACCCCCCAGGCTGGAGTGCAATGGCGTGGTGTCGACTCACTGCAGCCTCCGCTTCCCGGGTTCAAGGATTCTCCCACCTCAGCTTCCCTAGTGGCTGAGACTACAGGCGCGTGCCACACCACACCCGGCTAATTTTTGTGTTTTTAGTGGAGACAGGGTTTCACCTTGTTGGCCAGGCTGGTCTCGAACTCCTGACCTCGTGATCCACCTGCCTCGGCCTCCCAAAGTGCTAGGATTACAGGCATGAACCACGGGGCACCCAGCCCAAAACGAATTGTTAATAGATAAAATTGAAGTCTTTCCGAAGTAGCCTTTTCTGATGGCAGTTAATTTTTAAATTCTTGATCATTGTTTTATGTCGAAGCAGAAAATGTGATGAAAATTGACGCTTACCACCACACCAGAGAACCTGAAGACCAGTTGGGCTTGTATATGCAAGGGAAACAGATACAGGAAAATGTGGAAGAAAAAGAAAAGCAGTTTTCAAATGACCTATTTGTAAAATCTACTTGAAGCACGAAAGATATGCCATTTTATAATTTAAAAATTTTAAAGGGTTTGATTGAAACTATTTGCTACAAATGAAAGCTTGTCATTAAAAAATACTTAATGACATTAAAATTCCACTGAAAATGTCCAGCTAGAAATTGGGAAATATTTAGTCTTTAAAATTTGTACCTAATTTTGGAGGGTCAGAGGGTAAGCTGAAGACAGACCTCCAGAGGATAATATTGAAGGCTTATGCTCTGTATCAGGCAAATTCCATTTTCTGTAAGTTAAAATTTCTTTCAATAAGTATTTCTATGTAATGTAGATTCCTTAACACATTATACCAAATTATGTTTATGTGAACATGCTGTAATAATTGATTAGATGAAATTATGTTAAACTTCTTGGGTAAATTGTGAAATAAGTTGTAAGATGGTAATTTATTTTCCTATTTTTCCATTGGTTTCTGGTCGTGAGTACTAACAGGCAGAAACAGGATGCCTTAATTTTTTACAGTGCTGTATACATTTGGTATTTAGTAATGTTACCTGTTCACAGTTACTAATAAAGCTGAAGCTATTTTCCAATTTAGAGTGAAATTTATTATTCATGGAGCACTCAGAATCAATTGAGTAACATAAGTTTTTACTTACAGGTAGCTAGAATAGGTAGTGAGAATATAAACTGTGCTATGTGTATTCCAAGGTGCTGTCATTATTAGAGATTTTCATAATACAGGTTGAATATCCCTTATGGGAAATGCTTGGGACCAGAAGTGTTTGGGATTTTGGATTTTCTTTTTTTTTTTTGATTTTGGAATATTTGTATATACATAATGAGATATCTTGGGGATGGCACCTAAATATAAACATGAAATTCAGTTATATTTCTTGTGCATTTTA